ATTTTTTTTTTTACATTTAGCCTTTATTTATACAAGTAGTCTCATTGAGCCACGAGAACTCATTTTCAAGAGAGACCTGTTTAGGGAGCAGATGGGGGTTAGGTGCCTTGCTCATGGGCCCAGGGTGGGGCAAATGAGGGTGGGGGCAGGTGTGGGTGCTTCACCTACCCCACCCACATTTTTGATGTTGTCGGTACCGGGGCTTGAACCGGCGATCTTCCGATCACAGGCCCACCTTCTCTCCACCTTCTCTAACCTCTGCGCCACCACTCCCCCACAAATAATATATATTTTAAAAAAAATATATATATATATATATATATAGCATTATTTGAAGAAATATATGTCTCCTGCCATCTTTCATGCTAGAGCTTTGAAGACCTTCTAGCAGGATCTGTTAGCACTCAGAGTATTTGTTGGAGCTCAGCTACACAAAGTTTCAGCTCATTATCTGTAATACTGACCAAGGTATAGTCATTTTTGTGTGTGTTGTTGTGTGATACCACAACCGGCGTTTTTCTATTAAGTTTTTATCTCTTGAGTTTAGGATCGTTTTTTAAATATGAATAGTTTATAGGTCAGAATAAAGTGCCTGAACAAACAAAAATATTCCTCTCTAAAAGTGATTGTGTACTGGGCTGATAAAAAATGCAAGAAAGATCATTTTGAAGTCCAAAGAAATCCTTTTAAAAAAGTCTTCAGAAACACTAAGCAAATACTGCTCAAAACCATTTTGTACGGTGGCCCTAAGGTGTAAATGAACAACATTTGAAAAAACGAAATTACATTTGAAAAAACGAAATTACATTTTCCGCTTTGACTTAATGTAATTCTGTTTTTTTCTAATGTAATTCAGGCCAGTTTCTCTTCGGCCACGTCCGCTTTGGCTTAATTTAATTCCGTTTTTTCAAATGTAATTCTGTTTTTTCAAATGCTGTTCATTTACACCTTAGGGCCACCATAATTTTGAATGATTATAACATGTGGCTCATTGGAAACACAAAATAAAGAAATGTAGGTCTCAAAACATCACAGTTCTGTTTGAGAAGGAACAAAGAGCAGCAAACAGCTTAAATATTGTGACACAGATGTTTAGAGGTTTCACTTTTTTTTTCTTAGAAAGGATAAACAGACACTATCAAGTTTTTCTCTCTCTCTCGCTCTTGACAAAGACGAAGGCTCTCTTTCCCTCTCCTGTCTCCCATCTGCTTTTGCTCTTGCTCTTTGTTTTTGTAAACCTTTTTCAGAGCCCCTTTATGCATACCTTCCAAATTGTAAATTATGGACTTGTTCAGCTGGTCTCTCAACGCAATTGATCAAATTTTAACAAGAAGACAGGGTGAAGGAGAGCCCTCTTGCCTCGGAAGCATAATTGGATTTATGATAACTAGAGTCTTCTTTTTGGAGTTGATGGAAATCTGGATTATGGCCAAATTTGGAAATGCCAACAGCTGTTTAAGCTGTCTGGAATGTGTGTGCCGGGCTTGGCAACACTCCGACTGTACATGTGAACTAACTGTGGACCTGTATCAGAGCTGAGCAGGCAGGACTGTGGAACTTTGTTGCTGTGTTCATGGACGGTTGAAAGGAATAGATCTTGGAGAAGTTGTAAGTCTGACTTCTGAGTAAGTAATCACAATTCGGCTGTCTGTTTGGGGTCACTATGAGACGTACTAGCGAGACTGTAATAGGCAGAAGCAAAAATTAATGAGCTCAGCCTGACCCAAAACAATGTTGAAATCTGAATCTGGCTCTGGCCTTGGAAGGCTGACTATCCCAATTTCTCCTTGGATGCTATGGAAACAAGATGCTCTGATCCTCTCCTCTACTACCCCCCACCCTGAGAACATCTGTGGACCCTTATCAGAGTGGACTGGCTGAGAGACACTGTAACATCTTTATCAGGACTATGGAAACTATCTGGAAGTGTTCATGGACAATCTCAATATCTTGCCCGAAATGTTATGTCTCTCTATGTTGCTTGCTGTGATCGATTATTTTTTTTTGCTACCCAATGAATGGATCAGTGTGGGGACAAGACCTCTCGTGGAAGAAGAAGACGTAGGTGGTTCCAAAAGACGCCATCACCCACACCAACCAGCGCATGTGACTCGCCCACGGGCCCAGCTCCCGAAGGTTTAGCCTGTAGAAGCATCAAGAGGAGGACAGCTGGAAAACACGGCTGCCATCTACATTTACACACACATTCAGAAGACAGACATGTTTACCAAGGGGCGTAGGAGGCGGCAATGAAGAAGTAGATCACCATCCTGTCACACATGTGGAAACACTGCTCCACAGACCTGCAGAAATGGCTTTAGTTTTTATGAGATCCATGCCGTTACATTGCTCAAGCACTGAATTAGATTGGGTTTTGGATGTGTGTTGTTGTACCGCAGGTGACTCTTCTTCCAGGCCACAGTGTGGAAGAGGGTGGAGATGATGAAGAGTGAGCTGAGCCCCGCCCCGTACACCCAGGCTGACAGGCGCTCCCATCGATCCTCTGATTGGTAGTGTAACACCAGGCTGCCCAGCAGGCTGGGGATTATCCACATCTGAAGACGTCCCCCACAAAATAAAGAGTCATGAGAATGATGTGTCACCATGTGCAAGGTGCCATTTTAAATTTTGATCTGATAAATTCATTCAACCGTTATTTAGACAGGTTAATCCCAATGAGCCTGGAGGACTCATTTACAAGAGAGACCTGATTTCAACAAAGAATGATGACAACAATGGACAAATGATGTAACTGAATGTGCTGCTGGATCTGTAAGCATTCTGATCAATTTCTGTGTGTGTGTGTGTGTGTGTGCATGTGTGTGTGTGTGTGTGTGTGTGTCGTTGTGTTTGTTACCTTGTAAGGCCCATATTTTCAACACATACTACGTTGTGAGGACCCACTGTTCCTTATGGGGTCCAAAGTCTGGGCCCCATAAGGAGCAGTGTTGTTTTTGGGTTAGGGGTTAGATTTAGGACCAGGGCTAAATATGAGCTGGATCCTGCCGGAACAGGATCCGGGAACTTTCTTATTTTGACGGGGTGCATTCCGGAAACTATTTGCTTGGATCTGGTAACTCTCAGGCTTACTAATAATAAAGTTAGGAACAAATATGATTGCCCTGAATGAATAAAACTTGTACTGGATATGTAAACTGAAAATAATTACTTACGCACTTATTTTAAACCCAACAGCTACTTCTTAATATCGCTTACAAGTTGCCCCTTCAAATAACCATTTCCACAGCTACCCTTAAAAAAATCTGTACTCCTAAAAGAGTGGTGGAGGTGAGTGTCAAGCTAATCAGGCAGTCGTACGCGGGCAGGAGCCCAAAGGCAGCCGTCATGAACAGATGGAGGAGGTGCCTGGAGGTTTCATATGTGGAGTCGGACAACAGGGACAATAAATTCATCGGAGAATAGTCGGGCTAGCAACCGTCAAGTAAGAAGGAGGTGCGGTAGGATGCTTGACGGAAGCAGAGTGTTTACAAATGTAGGTAAAAGTACATGTTTAACAACCTGTTAAAATACATCAAAATGCAGGAAATCACATCTCCTTTATTAAAAAATTCTGGGGGAGCACCCTCAGACCCCCCCCCCCCCCCCCCCATGGCCCACCCGCTATTTGTGTTCCGGCATCGATCGCTTTACAAATTAAACCCTGCTTAGGACTAAAGGCTCCTACATACTTGGGCATACTGTGTGTACTCCATGAGCCACGCAGTCACTGCGCGCACAGTCTGCAGACGTACACCGTGGTGGGCTGCAGCCCAGCACCACAGGTAAGAGGCGTTTACCTTCGGGACAAATTGAAGTCTCCAACTGGTCATTTGCTGACGCACCTGCTGGATTGATTGGTAGGTCACAAATAAAATAAAATAAAATAAACAAGAGCTGCCGGCGGCCCTGGGTAGAGACAGCTGGAGCAGTGGTGTTCTGATGTTTCTATGTTGTTAATAAAAAGTTCTAAAAAAAAAAAACAAGGAGCGCTGGCCCTGCAGCACACACATCAGACTGGCCCACTAGGAAATCTCCAGGCCCTCCCAAAGCCACTCCGGGCCTGATTTTAATTCACTTGTGACAAATTCCTTCATTTTTCAAACTTTCAGTCATGGCGTCAATGGAGGAGGAGGAAGAGATCGCTTGCCTCTTGGCAACAAAATAAAATAAAAGGCCATTAAACCAGATCAGGGATGAAGAAGGGAAATTTAATACATTGATGTCGCATACAACACAGTCTGCTGCCGGGCAGTTTATTGTGTGACATCGAGTACACGTACTCAGCCGTAAAAATTGATCTATGCGCGGACATGGTTTGCAGATGTCCGCTTTGAGTCTGCGTTGAGTCTAATCCAGCACACGTGAACATCTGTGGGGTGAAGTACACCCAAGTATGTGGGAGCCTTTAGATGTGAATTGAGGATAGGTTAGGTTTAGGTTTAGGTTTAGGGTGAGGGTGAGGGTATTATCAGATCTCTCTTGTAAATGAGTCCTCGAGGCTCAATGGGATTAACCTGTCTAAATAAAGGTTGAATGAATAAAAACGAATGGAAGTCCATGTAAAGTTTCTATGAAAATAGAAAAACATAGTCTCTCTCTCTCCCCCTCTGTGTCTGTGTGTGTGTGTGTGTGCGTGTGTGCGCGTACTGACCGCATGCGTGGCACAGTTGGCAGCATGCTCGTATTCAGTGGGCTGGTATCTCTTGTTAGGAGGAACACGGTTGTTCATAAACCTAAAAGTGATGGACATCAAGCAGATACAAGTCACCATTGATCACCTTGAATTATCTTTTTAATATCTGAGCCAAAACCTGACATTTGTTTTCATTCAAGATATTAACAAAATGTAATTATCAACAAACACATCAGGAAATGAAACATTTAAGTCCATGTAAATTATTTTTAGCCTCAAAGCAAAAGAGATCATTCATGTTTTACTTGAGCTAGTTAACAATCAGTTTGTTATTATCAGTTTTTAACCCCTCTGTTTTGTATTGATCATTTGTTAACATAAAAAACAAACAGTTATGTTAAATACTTACATTTTGCAAAAGTGGCTCTCAAAGCAAACTGCAGTTCATTTTTTAATTTTAGATAAGTGAGATGATAGATTCAAGAGCTACAGTTTTTATTTGGTTTAATTTACCCAGCTTTATGTATTTATTTATTTTTTTACATAAAAGTACATCATGTCAGCATAATGACCTATAGAAAGCAAACTTTATTTGCAAGTATAACAAGAAAAACAGCAATCCATGAAATATACAGGGAACTTACATTTATTAATGTTCAGTTTACATTTACAGTAGTTTGAGTCTCTTGTTGAACACAGGATCATCTAAATCTTATTTGTCTCCAGTTTGATCTTTTTTCTTTTAATACTGTTTCCAAAACCTGAGTGAGTCCTTCAGTGTTACTTGACACTGTAGTATGAATTGTGCTATAAAACTTGAAAATTGTACGTCACATTTACCTCAATATCATTGGATGCACATCTACAACTACCAGCCTGATCAAGAAAGCTCATCAGAGACTCTACTTGTTCAGGCGGCTGAGGTGAGCTTGACAGGGAAGCTCAGTCCTCACCTCCTTCTACAGGTGTGCAGTGGAGAGCATCCTCTGCAGAAAGAAAAGCTTAGCAGAGAGTGGTGAAGGCTGCACAGAAGTCTGTTGGAGTCAGTCTTCCCACCATCACAGACATCTACACCTCCAGATGCAGGAAGAGGGCCACCTGCATCATGAAGGACCTCACTCATCCAGCACACACACTTTTTGCCCTGCTCCCTTCAGGCAGGAGGTTGAGGAGCATTAAGTGTAGAACCACAAGACTGAGGAACAGCTTCTACCCTGAAGCCGTTACACTCATGAATCACTAATCAGGATTATCACTGTAATTCCACTTTAATTGGAGATTTTGACACTTTATCCATGCTGCTGATTTATTACCCATAAGCTGCTGTATTCATACCCATCTGCTCACAACAGACTCATGTTCAGGCTGCTGTTTAAGACACCATATTATATTACATTATTATTGTTTAGTGTATATCTTAGATCCTTATATACTGTTTCTGTTTTTACACTTTATGTTTATAGTTTTTGGGGTGTAATTGGGACCTTGAGTACACAATTTTGTTCCACCTCATGTACCACATGTGATGCGAATGACAATAATATCCCCTTGAACCTTGAAATGATTAACTTTTGGAGTTAATCCAATTCAAGATGGCTGCCACAGCCAACTAAGCTAACAAACCCCCCCACAAAGATGGCTATAACGCACTCAATTTTAGAAATGTTATGCTACAATTTGATGTAGTAATAGCTGAGACTCATCCACAACACATACTTCTAGCGTGACAATGAGATTTCACATTATGCTTTTTTTGTTTTTTGGTTGTACCAAAACAATTACAACTTTTTAAAAAATTGTGAATATACATCATTGTGTGTTTGAGCTTCAAATATAATTTCACCATACGCACTCCGCTTTTGCTTAGCAACATTGGATCTTGCTTCAACTTGTTGCCATGACTGCTGTTGCCTGGCAACAGTGGGTAACCACGGAGTGACTGAAGCAGAGGTTTGTCCCGATAATGTGTTTCGTCGTTAACACGAGCAGCGTCTGTGTTCCTGCTTGTTCACACGTACAAACACGTGGGCTTGCTTTTAACTCCAACCTATCGCTCTGAATTTTTAACTTTTTTTTCTTCTCGCAACCTACGCTCATAAATAGAACATCTCAGGAGGTAACCCTCCATCAGTGATGTCACTGTTGTCATGGTAACCAAGGAGCAGGGATTGTACTTTCCCCCCCTCGTAATAGGAGAAAACACCTCGTTAATTTCATCTCCCTTACCAGTTCCTCTGCCATATCTCTCTTCTGCTCCCCTCCATGATTAAATGAACATGCAGAAAGCCAAACGGACCATGAGAACACGACAACACACGCACCCTCCCTACTTTTGTGCTGCATCTCGCAGAACAAGATTTCATAAGAGACCTAGATTTAGCACCATGCCTGTCTGTTCCTCACGCAGACACAGTTTGAAGGCTGGTGAGACTCAAGCATCATCCAAGAGGAACACCACTCTGAGCTTCAGGGAAAAAGTTACAGTAAATATATGATCTCTGATGTCTGGTCTGTTATTTAAGCATCATTTTAAAATCTCCTTCGTGTCGTTACGTAGCAGTGGGACACACAGATGGATGTGTTTTCCTCCTACTCGAGCTGTTTCAAACTTCTGATATCAGTCAGGATGCCAGACAGATGCAGGAGAAAAACCCAGGCGAGATGCTCACCTCACCAGAGATGTCTCATCTCATCCTCTCTGTTTCTCCTCCACGGTCTTCTTTTTTTAAGTGACACTTATTCAGAGCTATTAATACTAATAGACCCAGCCCAGAAACCCTGCATCCTGTCCTAAATAAACATGTTCCTTCATCCAGCTGCCTCACTGTGTGTGTGGCTGTCAGTGCTCGGCGCAGCAGGCCTGCCGGGGACACTAATGACTTGATGGAGCTGGATGATAATTAGCAGACCAGCCACAAAGACACTGATGTGAACGGGGAGGCGCCGGCCTGCAGGAACAAGATGATTCCTTGCGCAGCGTCATGCTTTCTAAACCAAGAAGACCTCAGTGTAACTGACACAATATTCAGCTTTATAGAGACTGCTTTTTCTGTTTATATATCGAATATTCTTTACAATACACAGGTATTCACAAAGAAATCAGTGGTTATTTGAAGTGCCAGGCTGGCACTTCAAATAACCACAACTAATGCAGTGATACAGTACAATATTATATCCTAAAAAATATTAGGTTTACAAATGCTTATTGTGCTTACAAGGTAGTAACACCTCTAGATTAAATATATAGGTGAACAGATTTGGTTCACTATTTGGCAAGAAACTGGTCAGTTTTCTCTTTCTCACCTTTAATTAATGCATAATAAACAGTTATTAATGGTTTATAAAGTGTTTATAGAGGAACATATCTATTAACTATTAGCCATCTATAAACGGAGCCTAATTGTAAAGTAGTACCATTTTTATTTGAAGAAACTCTCAAGTATATCTATTAATGCACTACTACTTCTGTGCTTTTCACTTGTCGCTTGTGAACAGGTTGAGTTTAGATTTGTGAAAATTTACAAACTTGCACTGTTCGAGTGTTGTCATTGTGTTAGAGAGAGTAAATGTCATGAATAAATTGGACATTAAACATAATCCAAGTTGAAGTGTTACATCATTTTCAGCCCCCTTTTTGGCATGTGTATATCACATCGGTATCGGTTATCGGACAAATAAGTTTCAACATATCGGATATCGGCCAAAAATCCAAAATCGTGCATCCTGAGTGCCAGCAGCGTCTAGCTGTAGCATTTCCAGTTCATCTTGGTGTACTTCCTGTAGGAACATAATATTTCTGCCAGAATAACAATGCCATTCAAAACTGGCAATGTGTTAAGGTTTGGGAAAAGGCATCAAATGAAAGGCTATAAAATTAATATCGCCCACTGCCGAAAGGGGAAGGCATTCATGTTTTTTGTTTTTTCTGTTAGAAAAACATTTCCTGAACACCACTGGACTGATGTTAATGAACCTTTCTGAACGTAATCAAATGTACGGCTGCAGCTGATTAACTTTTGGAGTCCGTCCAGCCTGAAATGACCGTGGTTAATGTTGTTGGCGTCGCAGAGATTGAGCTCAAAATGAGGTGGTAGTAGCTGAGAGTCTTCCCTACACACATCTGAGTGAGATCTTGTGTCGTCAAACGTTTGACCTGAATGATTGAAACTCCATCAATAAGAGGATATTTTTTTTAAACAGCTCAAAAAGCTGGAGGTGTTTTGTGTTCTGGCCTTTGAGATTATTGTTGTAATCTACTTTATTCTTGGTCCCTGCCCCGACTAGCCATTTACTCATCAACCCTGTCGGACTTAAAGCCTGTTTCTGTAGCCTGAGGTTGTTCAAAGACCAGACATTAACTGTTTATAACCAGATATGATCTGTTTTAATCTTTCCACTTTAAATAATGTGTGTAAAGGTGTTGCTTTGTTGGTTTCCACTCAGGCTGAAGGTCTATGCCAGGGCTAATCAGTTAAATTGCTCAGGGAGGCACAGTTACTGACAGCCATGAGCTCAGGGGGTGGACATACAACAGTTATTGTCATTAATTAAGCTTGTTTAATGGTTAAAAATCTAGTTTTACTTAGCAAAGAACCCACTGGTGGGCCGAACTGAGCTCACTTGTGGGCCTGAAGTGGCCCCCAGACCATCAGTTGAATAGCCCTGGTTTATGCTGTGGACATCAACCTACAGGTTGATAAATGAATAGTTTTCATTTCTCTCTATAATTTCTACAGTTTTAGGTTCATTATTTGTGTCTCAACTTGTAAATTGTGTGCATAAAGTACAGATTGTTTTATTGGTCTTAAATTATTGAATTATGTCCTAGTGCTCACTGCTCCTTGTGTTCGTGATTTAAACTGGAGCTTAAATGGGACAGGCTGCAATAAAACAACTGTTGCTGCTGATCTGTTTCATGTTGCTGCTGATCTGTTTCAATGTTGATGTGTTCATGCGTGCACATCTGCTCACAGACTCATGTTCATGTTTGTGCTGATGTTCAATGTTTTATGTTATGAGTGCTTAGTGTATATTTAGTTGATGTTTTTCTTAGTTCATATCTTAGATGTTATTACTGTTTTTCTTA